GACCGGTACCGGTCCACGGACCGGGGGTTGGGGACCCCTGGGTTGAAATGTTCATGAAATCCTATTGACTTGGCTGTCTGTTCTCTGTTTTTCAGGCGAGAGCTTTGCAGATTTCAAGTCCCCGGGAACCGATGACGGCTTCACTGACTTCAAAACCGCGGACAGCATCTCTCCACTAGAACCGCCAACAAAGGACAAAGCCTTTCCTTCCCCTTTCTCTTCCCTTTCTCTACAGTCCAAACAACAACCCCAAGCAAAGCCGCCTCTGAATTTGGCAGACCTGGATCTGTTCTCCTCAGCCTCAACTGGAGAGAGCCAACCCACTCTCTTTCCAGCTGCGTACAATTCCCCCAAACCAGCAACTTTTGCTACACCATCACACCCAACACCGGCCGCCGCCACTACTCTGCCCATGCCAGGCAGTAGCTCGGCCCTGGCCAGTGACTTTGCCGACTTCAACCTTTTTGGCGGGTTGTCGAGTTGTCCTCCGGCTACCACTCAGGACGAATTTGCAGACTTCATGGCTTTCAATAACAGCGCCGTCTCTCTGGAGCAGCAGCTGGATGATAAACACAGCACCCTCAAGCAAGACGCCAACGCCGTTCCCCCTGCTGGCTCCTTAGCCGGCGTCGTCAAGAACGGGCAGAGCCCCGTGGCTGCTTCCAACAAATACGACATCTTCAAGCAGCTGTCTCTGGACAGCCCCGGGTTGGGGTTTGAGGAACTAAAAGACCACACTCCTTCCTCGGTGAAAAGCGAAGACGACTTTGCTGATTTCCACTCGAGCAGGTTTTCCTCCAGCTCGGAAAAATCCCTCGTCGACAAACTGGCCGCTTTCAAGCACACCAAGGAGGACTCGGCTTCCGTCAAGTCTCTTGACCTCCCATCCATTGGTGGCAGCAGCGTGGGCAAGGAGGATTCGGAAGACGCCCTCTCTGTCCAGTTTGACATGAAACTGGCAGATGTGGGAGGAGACCTTAAGCATGTCCTGTCTGATAGCTCTCTGGATTTACCAACGGTTAGTGGTCAACATCCACCAGCAGCAGGTGAGGAACTAGTTAGATTGCTCTGGTAACAGCAGCTTCAGGAAAAGTCCCAAAATGTTGTCTCGTGAGCTGAATTTCAGTATTCTGCACTGACCCTGCCGTGGGAAAAGCCTCCTGGATCTGTATTTTGGGCTAGCTGCTCATCTCTTAATCAAGCAGTATTAATTGGTGTCCTTCTATGTAATTTCTAGATCGGCTGGTTTTTGAGGTAGATCCTGTCCTACACAGTATGTCCTCTTAGCAGCCCCAGTTTTAGGCAAAATACTCTTCTCTTGTGTCACTAATAGTGTAAGACAGAAGCAGAACCAGTCAAAGGCTGCTTTGGGTTTAGCTAACGGATTGCGAAGGGATTTGATGCCATTGTGTGGACATTCCCATTTTCCAAAGCACGGGGTCTGTCCTTTGAATTTTCCAGCAGCTGTGAAGATATATTTTTGTTTAATCCCAGCGTTGGAAAGAAGTTAACCAGCTCTGGCCTATGCAGGGGTGTGTCTCTCTAAGCCAGGCATGTCAAACTCGCGACGTCACGCAACATATTGGGCCGGTTTTGCCATTGCTGGCAATGGGGTGGGTGTGGTTTCCACGTGACGCGTCCGGCCCGTGGGCTGGCAGTTTGATACCCCTGCTCTAAGCTATGAAAACAGCCTCCAGTTCCTCCAGTAAAGTGGTACCTTAATCCCAGTGGTTAAATCAATCAGAATGTCAGTATAACTGGGACTTTAAAGGCCAGTTTAAGTTATGCTTTTGAATCAGTATTAAATCTAGTCATAGGTATTAAAGTACTGTCTGACCAGATTAAGGCAATGCGTGCTTGGGGGGGGGGTGTCAATCCCTAATTCTGCCCCAGTTGAAGATACAGCCAGTACTCACTTGAAATTCTGCCTCATGCAATTTCTGCACCAGAATATCCTTTGAATAATATAGCTGCTATTTCACATTTGCACAGATCATTAGATTGTCATCCCTGTGTATTCTGGAAGAAATTAGCAATAATAACAGGCCCTAGCTGTGTTTAATGCTAGAAATTGTGATATTTTCCCCCTACTGTGGATCGATGGCTTTCTTACATTCCGGGTTCACGCAGAGACAACGGTGACTGCTTTGTAAACCCAGAATGGTGCTATTAAGGCATTTTTTTTTTCATTCTGGTATGCAGTCAGCAAAAAAGATTCCCAATACTGGCATTGAAATAGTAATTAATGGCCTATCTGACTCAGGGGTGCAAACCATAGACTTTGATCTAGGAAAACGTAATACTGAGATCGCTATTCTAGTGAATATTGATCCTTTTGCATCAGCTGCTAGTGGTTTGGGAGCCATCTTTCCACAGAAAGGTCCCACAGAAGATCAGTGTCCTCTTGGATACCTGGAATACAAGGGTGTGGCCAATTCTTTGGGTTTTCTCACCTTTACTAAATTATAATAGGTGAGAGGGTCATAGTGGATTGCTCTCTCCCATCAACCGGAACACCATTGAAGGACAAACAACACTAATGCCTCTGTAATTGTCCTGAATGGAATAAAAGGCCAGCAAATCTTGTATTGCAGTGTTTCTCAATCTTGGGAAAGTTAAGATGTCTAGACTTCAACTTCCAGAATTTCTCACTGAGGAATTCTGGGAGTTGAAGTCCATGCATCTTAAAGTTGCTAAGGTTGAGAAACTATTGTATTGAATTTTCTTCCTTTTAGTTTTCCTTAGGAACAATACCGTATAGAAAATGAATTGGTTATCTCCAGTTTAGTTGCAAACAATTAAACTAATCACCTCATGGGATAGTGACTTTTTTTTGGGGGGGGTACAATTTCTCTAGCGTGGATCACTGAATTTTGTGGCCTTTAAAAACACAGGGGGGAAAATCACAATAGTCCTACACAAAACAACGGTTAATCAGTATTAGTATGGGTGACAAGGAAACAATTGCTCCAGAAACCATGTACTTCTACATCGTTAAGTGAAGGAGAAGAAAAAGTAAATGTACTGTAATCTTATATTCTATTTTTAGGTAGGGAACGTAGAAACAAACCCTTTGGTGGCTTTCGAAGAAGGGGGTTTCTCTAACAGGGTGTTTGAAATATCAGGAGTAAATTTTGCTTCGTGAAAAATTAAACCTTTTTTGTAGGTTAAAATGTTTGATCTGGTCTGGTGGGTTGTCCAGTAGTCTGGTACCTACCGTGCTTGTTCTTGAGAAAGATTTTTTTTTTTAATTTTGAGTTTTTCAAAAGCACTTTTTTCCTACTATTTTTCTAATCTGTCTTGGTGATAGTTTGATGAATTCATTGTCCGTAGCAATTCAAGGATTTGATGATGGCCATTCAGTTTGCACCCAAAGATGCAATCTGGATCCTGAGATTGATTTAAGTCAGTACTATGCTTTGATGCTAAACTTTATAGAGAGTGATTTCCCCCCATTCCTTATTTTCCAGAATCAAGTATTTATCTAGTTTCTGGTGCCAAGGGCCTGTTCAAGGTTAATATTTCCATCTCCCAGTCATGATTAAGGGATCAGAAGTGGACTTCTCTGTTCCCTCAGTCAAAATCCCAGAACCCATATCCACAGCTTGCCATCCCAGCGGTACCAAAGAAATAGTTAATGCCAACCAAGATTAACTGCTAGGTATTTTAACTATTGGCTAGGAATCAAGCTTAGGTAGCATTTTCCATGCTTCCTTTTGATGCAGACTTAACGATAAAAGGTAGTTAAGGCGTAAGAAAATTTTACACCAAGAGGAAAGGGAACTGTGAGTCATCCGCTACTTTTTTGATCCCTTAGATCAGGGCTTCTCAGCCTGGGCAACACCTAAGAGGCATGGACTTCAATTCCCAGAATTCCCCAGCCAACATGGGTGAATGGCTGAAACATGGGCTAATGGCTGAGGGATTCTGGGAGTTGAATTCCACCCAGCTTAGAATTTCCAAGGATGAGAAACACTGCCTTAGATGCTGATAGTTAAATGACATCTGCTCATCTGCTCTGACTCCAAAATTCCTTCTTGCCTAAACTTTCCTTGAGCTTTCTGTCTACTGTTATTTGATAAATCGACTATTTTTCTGTCCTGTTGCCTCTTTCTCTCTGTGTACCTATTAGAGCTGTGGAGCGGTGCAGATTTGATTCCAAAGAGGAATCAGACAGGATCCCTGTATGCAGCACCTGTCTCCACCCTTTAAAGCAGCTACATCTTTTCCCAGAAACTCACAGCTGCTTTCAAGAGTTGCAGACAGGTACCGCAAAAGCACCTTTTCTGAAATAACGCTCGCCGCCCTAACGCTGTATAATGTACAGTATATATGTAGAGAGACAGAAGATAAAACGTTTCACATTCTGAATTTGGTAATGTTTCCTATATCTCTCTGCCACTTTAATTGAAAGTAGATTCCTTTCTTTCTTTGCTTGTTTCTATTTGGTCTGTAAACTGAATTGTCAGAAAGGGACAGTATTCCCTTTTTCCATTCCCTTTTCTGTCGGTTTCAGAGAGGAGTTCCTAAGTGACACAGGACTTCTTATCATCTGGCATTATTAGCATTGCAAACAAAACTAGCTTTTAATCTTTCCACGCTGAGAGTTTATGCAAGCAAAATCGAGCTACCGGGGACTAGAAGAAATTGATGTCTGGATGGTGAGGGAGAGGGAAAAAAGGGATATTTAAATCAATTACTCTTCAGTTAAACGCGCTTAACACAGCAGGAATGAGGAGAGAGACTTTTTTTTCTAGCTCTTTCAAGGGGATACTGTCTCTAAACTTTGTTCTTTAATTCTGTGAACAGAAGGTGGAATTGATTGTGGAATTAACAGTCTGACCAATGTTTAACCTTCTAAGCCTCTCTGCTTGTTCATTTCAACCTGTTGCTATTTTTCTGCCAAATTTTAACCCTTTTCTCGGTTCTGTCTGATTGAATTGTCTGGCCTTGGGGCTGGGGGTGTGTGTGTCTCTTGCCCCTCTTCCCTTGATTTGCCTTCATTGGCCCTTTTTTTTGAAACATTGCAGTGGGATTAAACGGCTGGATCACCCAATCTGCCCGCGTTTGCAAAACTGGCAGAACCTTTTGCATCAGAAACCCCTTTTACGAATCAGAACCGGGGTAGAGATCTTCCTTCCGGCTGTCTCTTCTCCTCCACTCTGATGCCTTTATTTCAACTTGACATTTTCCTGTGTGAATGTGCCTTTTCGAAACCGCTTTGATATCTCTCTTCTGTGAAAGACTGATCTGCATGCTTTGGTTCTGACGATTTTCCTTTGAGCTCCTGTAATATTCTCTTTTTGTGATCTGTAAGTCCTGCTGTGTTTAAATAAATATTTATCTTGGCATAATTTGAAAGTCTGAGCATGTGTGGTTTTTCCTTTCCCCCCCCTTTTTTGAGTCCAGAAATTTCTGATCATCAGAAGAAAAAAAAAAAGTTTAAAGCAGTTGTATCCCCTTCTGTATGAAAAGTCTCTCTCTCTCCTTCTATCTATCTATCTATCTATCTATCTATCTATCTATCTATCTATCTATCTATCTATCTATCTATCTATCTATCTCTATCTCTCTCTCTTAATGTCTTTGGTGGTTAACAGAGCTAGAATAAGGAATGGAAGTTACGACTGTTCAGAAAAAGATCAAACAAAAATGGGTTTGATATTTGTCTAAAATCGTATAGGGTTTCCTGCCTGAACAGGGGTTTGGACTAGAAGACCTCCAAGGTCCCTTTCAACCCTGTTATACTATTGATGACCATGCAAGATGGCTGCTTTACTAAAACTAAGTGGGAAATGACATCCTCTAGGCCAGGGGTAGGCAACCTTGGCTCTTTTATGACTCGTGGACTTCAACTCCCAGAATTCCTGAGCCGGCATGGCTCAGCATGTAAACCTCTCCCTTTCTCCTCAGCATGGCTGGCTCAGGAATTCTGGGAATTGACGTCCACGAGTCATAAAAGAGCCAAGGATGCCTACTCCTGGCCTAGGATGAAGATGTGAAGACATGGAAAGAAATGGAACATTTGTGGAAAATAGCCTTTTTATTTACTATTCCCTTTTTTGGTTTTGTTTGTTGAGGCTTTTTTTCCCTTTTGCTAATAAATAGGCAGAAGTGGCTTACAAAATATTTAAATGAAACAAAAACAAAAGCTTTATAGCAGGAAGAATTCTCTGAAATAATGTTTATAGTACCAGATACAACCACAACTGAGCCCAAAATTTCTGTTGCTAATTGAGACAGTTGTTAAGTGAGTTTTGCCCCATTTTATAACTTTCCTTGCCATAGTTGTTAAGTGAATCCCTGCAGTTGTTAACTTAGTCACACGGTTGTTAAGTGAACCTGGCTTCCCCATTGACTTTGCTTGTCAGAAGGTCGCAAAAGGGGATCACGTGACCTTGGGATTTCAACCGTCATAAGTACATGCCAGTTGCCAAGTGCCAAATTTTGATCACATGACCACAGGGATGCCACAACGGTCAGGTGAAAACCCATCATAAGTCACTTTTATCAGTGGCGTTGTAACTTTGAATGCTCACTAAGTGAACGGCTGTAAATCAAGGACTAGCTGTACTTACTGTACTTTATTCAAGGATGAGCTATATAGTATAATTCCCAAATGTTAAAAACAAAGAATGCATTTCTACTTTCAAGGGTATTGATATTTATACAAAGAAGGGAGAATTTAATCTAGCACAATGATGGTGAACTTTTTAGAGACCAAGTGCCCAAACTGCAACCCAAAACCCACTTATGCATCGTCAGGTGCCAGTGGGTGTGGCCCATTAGGTGGGTGTGGCCCATTAGGTGGGTGTGGCCTATTGGGTGGGTGTGGCTGCGGTGGTAACAGCAGACTGGGCGGGACTAAAAAGTTCAATCAATTCCAACTTTGCAAGATCTTTTTTTTTCCGCGAGAAGTTGAAATTAATTGATTGAACCTTTTTTTTTTGTACATGGCGGCCAAGGCCTAAAGCGAAAAGGTTTTATAAAACCCAGCTGAAGGCCTAGGACTGGGGTGATAGCGTGCGTGCCCACAGAGCAGGCTCTGAGTGCCGCCTCTGGCACGCGTGCCATAGGTTTGCCACCACTGATCTAGCAGATGGTTTTTGATTGCTGACTTTATTTAGAGCTTAGTGGAACTTCCTTTGTTTTTGCTACTTACTCTTACAGTATAGAGTAATTTTTGACAGAAGCATCAATTGATTCCTATCTGTATAGGATACAGATAATCCTCTCTCTTTCTATATCGGTAGTCCTCCCCTTACGACCACAGCCGAGCCCCAGATTTCCATTGCTAAGCAAGACAGGTGTTAAGTGAATTTTGCCCCATGGTATATGACCTTTTTGGCTACAGTTGTTAAGTGAATCACTGCAGTTGTTAAATTAGTCACACAATTGTTAAGCGAAACTGGTTCCCCATTGACTTTGCTTGTCAAAAAGGTGCAAAAGAGGATCACATGATCCCCGGGACACTGACACCGTCATAAATATGAGTCAGTTGGCAAGCGTCTGAATTTTGATCACGTGACCACGAGGATGCTGCAACGGTCGTAAGTCTCAAAAATGGTCATAAATCATTTTTTTTCATTGCCTTTGTAACTTCAAACGGTCACTGAATGAACCCGTTGTACATCGACTACCCGTGGCCCCGTCTTCTTGTCCCATCTTTTCCTCCCATAGAAAACAAGCTAATTAAATAAGAAAAACACTTGGAGTAGCGGAACCGCTATGAATAACAATAGGAGGCTGGCTGAGGAATTCTGGGAGTTGAAGTCCACAAGTTATAAAAGGGCCAAGTTTGAAGACCCCTGGTCTACATCAAGCTTGGCGGCTTAAAGATGGATGGACTTCAACTCCCAGAATTCCCCAGCCAGCCTTGCTTGAAGTCTACCCATCTTCAAGCTGCCAAGGTTGAAAAACACTGGTCTACATACAGGGAAATTGATTATACTCTGCAGAGATTTATCAAAGTAAAGCAAAACTGCATGCTGGCTGAGGAATTCTGGGAGTTGAAGTCCACAAGTCATAAAAGGGCCAAGTTTGAAGACCCCTGATCTAAAGGGTAGTACCGTGGGAAGCTGAGATTTAACTTTTCCCACATGACTCCATGACAGGGGTACAACTAATACAATTCTATAGTATCCTATTGCCATCTCCAGAACATCTGAAAACAGCCCCAGAATGGTATAGGCCAGGGGTAGGCAACCTTGGCTCTTTTATGACTCGTGGACTTCAACTCCCAGAATTCCTGAGCCGGCATGGCTCAGCATGGAAACCTCTCCCTTTCCCCTCAGCATGGCTGGCTCAGGAATTCTGGGAGTTGAAGTCCACAAGTCATAAAAGAGCCAAGGTTGCCTACCCCTGGATTAGGACATACAAGTAGTCCTTGACTTACCACTGTTCATTTAGTGACCATTCAAAATTTACAGTGGCACTGAAAAAAATGACTTGTGACCATTTTTCACGCTTAGGATCGTTGCAGCATCCCCTGTGGTCACGTGATCCGAATTCGGGGGGCTTGGAAACTGGCTCCTATTTATGACTGTTGCAGGGTCCCGAGATCATGTGATCACCTTTTGCGACCTTCTTACAATGTCAAAGTCAATGAGGAAGCTGGAGTCAATTAACTGTGTTACTAACTTAACAACTGCAGCGATTCACTTCGCAGCAGTGGCAAAAAAGGTCGTAAAGCGGGGCAAAACGCAACAACTCTCTTGCTTAGTAACAGAAATTTTGGGCTCCGTTGTGGTCATAAATCGAGGACCTGCCTGTAAGTGAAATGAACACTTTTAAGACTTTGGCCCCAACTTCTGTTTGAAAAAATTAGGGGCTGGGCTTTTAAGACATCCATTTATGAACTAGATTAGAATAACAGAGTTAGAAGGGACCTTGGAGGTCTTCTAGTCCAACCCCCTGCTCAGGCAGGAAACCCAACACCATTTCAGACAAATGGTTGTCCAGTCCCTTCTTAAAAACTTCCAGTGTTGGAGCATCCACAACTTCAACACAATTTCTCTCTTTTAAAATACCTGCCGTTTCATTCAGACACATAACACACACACCAAGAGAATTGCAGTTGTTCGTGTTGTCACCAGGCACGGTTACTATTTCTCTGGGAACCCCAAAATACCGGGGGTCCCATTTTCTAGGTCAGGAACTGCACACCTCTGAATAGTTGAAAAATGTTAAGAGTGCAGACACAGACACCTAGCTTACAAATTTTAGGAGATTTTTGATACATATAGACGTAGGCAGGGCACCTAGATCTTGGCAAAGATTGTTCCCACTTGACGTAATAGCGTGGAAGACCCATAGACTTGGCCCTTTGATTTTGTGTGTCTTCTTCATAAATTTAATCATATCCTGATCACCAAAAAAAACCTCGCTTCTTATTCATTGAATAACAATGCAGGTTGAATGTTGGGTTGATCCTGCCATCCTGATCTATTGCAGGATGGTGAGCAATGAAGGCTATATGGATTCCACACAATGGAATTAATAGTCCACATACAATCTTCTCAGTTGGTTGCATATTTGTGGCTTGTTTGCATTTGCTTTCCCCCACATAGCCGCTGAGGAAATAGGGAGACTCCCGATTTGAAAAAGACGCATGTTGTTGAGGATATTAGCTCAGTGCAATCCCAGTTCTCTTTATCACAAAAGGCCAGGGATGTCCAATCTCGGCAACTTTAAGACTGGTGGACTTCAACTCCCAGAATTCCCCAGCCAGCATAGCTGGCTGGGGAATTCTGGGAATTGAAGTCTACCAGTCTTAAAGTTGCCGAGGTTGGACACCCCTGAATAAGGCAACTGATCAGACCTGAGCCAAAACACTAGTTGTTCATGCTGAAGAACCAAATGTCATGTAGATTGTTTCTTTCTGATATTCCATACATTCCTTCCCCATTGTTTAAAAAAAAACCACAACCCTTTGTATCTCTAAATTTGGGTCTAGCCTTAAAACAAAGAGGGAAACGAGGTTGCTTGAGCAAAAATAAACTCAGGTTCACCATTGTTGGCTTTTAGACAAAGTACAAATTTTGCACCTGGTTGAGCTACTAGTTGCCTTTTGAAAAAGCAGCTTTGGGACAACCACGGACCTGGAGGATGGAAAGTCTCCATAGACACTTGAATGGATATGTTCTTGCCTCCCCTTGCTACAACAAAGAATCTTATTTCTTGAGGCTAGCCATCATATTTCTGGTGGGAGAGCACGGAGGAATATTTGGGAACTGACCTCTGGTATTTGAGTCGAAGGAGCAACTTGAGATTCTCCACTTCCTGCACACCAGATATTGTCTCCTCTCTTTGGCCTTGATTTGTTGAGAGGCTTAGTGAGAAGATGGCCCATCCCTCCCTTAATTCTTTGGGTCTTTGTTGCTCTTTTTAGATCTCGACGACTTGAAGTGTGCCCCGTTTGGCAGTTACGGCAGTGGATCTCTTCTGAGTAGCTTCCCAAGCTATGACTGGTCTGATAAAGAAGATGCCTGTCAGAGCAGAAAGTCTGTCCCCTTCTCCCTTCCTGCAGGGAACGGATCCTCCTTAGCCACCTCGGTTCTCCAGAAGAAGGAGACGTTTTTTGGCAGCTCTGAAAATATCACCGTGACCACCGTTTCCAAGGTAACGACTTTTGCGAACGAGGATGCTCTCCAAGACGTGAAGTTCTCCTCTTTTGCCAACTTCAGCGATTCCAGGCCTCACTCGGTGGACCAAAGCGAGGATGAAGTGGAAGACTTTGGAGAGTTTGCTCGAACACTGGAGGACGGAAGCGAGAGGCCCGCCACAGGCGGACCTCAAGAGGCCGATTCAGCAGCTGGGAAAGAAGTCTTTGACGACTTTGGAGAGTTTCAAGGGGAGAAACCCAAGATCAGCAAATTTGACTTTTTACTGGCAACTTCCCAAGGGAAAATGAAATCCAGTGAAGAAATGATCAAAAGCGAGCTGGCCACTTTTGACCTCTCTGTTCAAGGTGAGAATCCCTGCTGATATTGTGGTTGTAATTATAGTTAATTGGTGGTTGGTTCTAAGTCCCACCTAGTGCTGGGGATGGAGAAAATCCAGGATATCTCTGGAGTTCTTTATGATTTGATTTCTAAGGCACCTCACTTGCCAGCAACTCTGGGCAGAGAGAGAGAGAGATAGAGGTTGTAATAGTAGTAGCAGTAGTAGTAGTAATAGTAGTAGTAGTAGTAGTAGTAAAATAATAATCTATATAAATAAAAATGTAAATGTTCGTTTGTTCAAAATCTTAAATCTCCGAAAGTTCTTCACCGATTGCCTTGAAATTTTGACACAACGTTGCATTCGAATACGTGCGTGTTTTTATATGCCTATATTATATAGATGTCACACCTGTGACAGGTAAAAACATGCTTTTTTTGAAAAACGGCGCCATCTGTTGGACGCTTTGAAATTGCCATTGAACATACAATTCATTGAAACTCCCACGTGCAACATTTCCAAAGCATCCGGCATGAGAAAAGTATTGCAGAAATGCAAACTTATTGTTTGGGATGAATGCACAATGGTGCATTGAGACTGAGCCACAGCAACGCGTGGCCGGGTACAGCTAGTAATAATAATAATAAAAAGTTGGAAGGGACCTTGGAGGTCATCTAGTCCAACCCCCTGCTCAGACAGGAAACCCTATACCCGTGGTGGCGAACCGATGGCACGCGTGCCACAGGTAGCACGCAGAGCCCTCTCTGTGTCCTTGCCCCAGTCCTAGACCTTCAGCTGGGTTTTATAAAACCTTTTCACTTTAGGCCTCCGCCGCCGTGTGCAAAAAAAAAAAAGGTTCAATCAATCAATCAATTTCAATTTCTCACGGGAAAAAAAAGATCTCGCAAAGTTGGAATTGATTGATTGAACTTTTTAGTCCCAACCAGTCTGCCGTTACCACCGCAGCCATGCCCACCCAATGGCCCACACCAACCCAATGGGCCATGCCCACCTGGCACCCAACGATACATAAGTGGGTTTTGGGTTGCAGTTTGGGCACTCGGTCTCTAAAAGATTCGCCATCACTGCCCTATACCATTTCATGGAGCTACATAGAATCATAGAATCACAGGGCTAGAAGGAACCTTGGAGTTTTTTTTTAGTCCAACCCCCTGCTCAAGGCAGGAGACCATATTCCTATGACCACAATTGAGCCCCAAATTTCTGTTGCTAAATGAGACAGTCGCTAAGTGAGTTTTGCCCCCATTTTACGACCTTTCTTGCCACAGGTGTTAAGTGAATCCCTGCAGTTGTTAAACGAATAACACGGTTTTTAAGTGAATCGGGCTTCCCCATTGACTTGGCTTGTCAGAAGGTTGCGTATGGTGATCACGTGACCCCAGAACGCTGCAGCCGTGATAAATATGAGCCAATTGTCAAGCATCCGAATGTTGATCATGTGAGCAGGGGTGCTGCAACGGTTATAAGTGTAAAAAAACGGTCCTAAATCACTTCTTTTCATTGGCGTTGTAACTCCGAACGGTTAACTAAACACATCTATCTGTATTCATGGACCTGACCACACCTTTCATACCTGTATTTCTTTCCAGGTTCTCACAAAAGGACCCTAAGTTTGGGCTCCTCACCTCTGCCACCCGTGGAGCAGCCTTTCAGAGATCGATCAAACACTCTGAGCGAGAAGCCTTCACTGCCAGTCATCCGAGACAAGTACAGAGATCTTACTGGGGAAGTAGAGGTAAGGAGAGAACCAACAAAAAGGTTGTGGCTTGGTGCACCTGTGTTGAAAACACTTGCTTGATTCAGCAGGTGCCAAACCGCAAATGCAGGTAGGGCAAAAATCCTTGTGGACAGAACTGAGAGCTGCTGAAAGAGAGGTAGAGTTGTCGCTGCCTTGTTCATAATGATTTTTTCACTTATTGCTTACCTCAGTGTGTTTCTCAGCCTCAGCGACTTTTAAGGTCAGTGGACTTCAATCTGGCTGAGGAATTCTGGGAGTTGAAGTCCACAGATACGAAAACTTCCTGAGTTCGAGAAACACTGACTTACAGACAGATCTCTGTATGCTGCCCAATTCATTCCAGTTTTTAGTAGGAGCACAAGCAACAAACTAAAATACAAATTAGAAATAATTCAGAGCAGCCCATCTCATAAACCAAACCCACCAGCCCACGCTCGGCCACGTTTTTCAATCAAGGGTGGCAACACGCACAACAAAGATTCTTTGGAACCAGCCCGTTTTAATGTGCTTCCAAAATGTCAGTAGGAGGGAACCAGTTTTGCTAGCGGATAGTGATCCAAATGGCCTATTTGATCTTCACAATTTGATGGGAAGAGGCCCCAGCCTTCCCTCCCAAACTGCTGTGTGCTGTTATAGATGAAGGGGAATTTGAAAAGTTTCTGATTTTCCACATCTGAATTTGGCTAGCCCAGGGGTAGGCAACCTTGGCTCTTTTATGACTCGTGGACTTCAACTCCCAGAATTCCTGAGTCAGCCACGCTGAGGGGAAAGGGAGAGGTTTCCATGCTGAGCCATGCCAGCTCAGGAATTCTGGGAGTTGAAGTCCACGAGTCATAAAAGAGCCAAGGAACGGATGGGGACCGATCGGGTACGTCCTTTTTTTTTTCAGTGAGTATTTTGTATTATGGTACAACAAGAAAAACGTCGGTAAGTTTTAACAAAGAAAATCCTTCTCCCGCTAGGAAAGTGAGAGATATGCCTATGAATGGCAGAGATGCTTGGAAAGTGCGCTGCAGGTAAGTAGGTGATCACCATCTACCTGAGTAACTTCCTTTCCTTTTGTGTATGTGTTACTTGGTGATTTGAAAAGGGGAAAGTTGGTGTTGACACCTATAGAGCAGCGAGTTTGTACAATTGCCTTCAGTGTATTATTTTATATTGTCGCCACAATATAAAAAAGATGTTGAGACTCTGGAAAGAATACAGAGAAGAGCAACAAAGATGATTAGGGAACTGGAGGTTAAAACATATGAAGAAGGATTGCAGGGATTGGGTATGTCTAGTTTAACGAAGAGAAGGAGTAAGGATTATATGATAACAGTGATCCACTATCTAAAGCAGGGGTGTCAAACTCAATTTCATTGAGGGCCGCATCAGCATTGTGGTTGCCCTTGGGGCCGGGTGGGTTTGGCTGGGCGGGTGTGGATGGAGTGGGTGTGGCCTACTGGGTGGGTGTGGCCAGCTCTACACTGTTCGCGTCAAGGGGGCCTGTGGGGGCCTGGGCAGGAGTGGGACAGATCTGAGGGTCTCTGGCAGAAGAGGGTGGGACCGGGGCAAGTGCCAAGGCATGGTCCACTGGAGGAGCCTCACTGTTCCTCTCAGGCCATGCAGGGGGGGGGGGCTTATGGAGCTAAGACTGAATGCGTTTCAGCATAAATGGCCACCACAAAATTGTACATTGGGTCCCGGCCGGCCTGGGCCAGGGCCAAGGCAGAGGGGGCCGTTCCCTCACTGTTTCCAGGATGGCTTCGCGGGCCACACAAAACCACTTTGCGGGCCGCATCCGCCCCCCCCGGCCTTGTGTTTGACATGTCTGATCTAAAGGGCTGCCACAAAGAGGAGGTGGTTAACCTATTCTCCAAAGCACCTGAAGGCAGGACAAGAAGCAACGGATGGAAACTAATCAAGGAAGGAACCAACCTAGAACTAAGGAGAAATTTCCTGACAGTTAGAACAATTAACCAGTGGAACGGCTTTACCTTGTGTGTGCTCCAACCCTGGAGGTTTTTAAGAAGAGACTGGACAGAATGGTATGGGGTCTCCTGCTTGTGCAGGGAGTTGAACTAGAAGACCAGGGTTGGTCCTTTCCAACTCTGTTATTCTATTCCAGATGTATCTATGTTATAACTCCTAATAACCAGGAGGAGGCCCTGTGCAACACATTTCTGGAAACCAGTTACATAGTGCCTCCTGCTGGTCAATAACCATTATAACATCTGTAACAACTATAGATCCCTTAAGTGGGGAGATCTTAAAGCAGTGGTGGCGAACCTTTTAGAGACCGAGTGCCCAAACTGCAACCCAAAACCCACTTATGCATCGCTGGGTGCCGGGTGTGCGTGGCCACTGAGTGGGCGTGGCCACCGAGCTGTTGGTTCGTGCTCACTCGCTCGCTCGCTCGGTGTCCGCTCCGACTTGTGCTCGCTCTCTCGCTGTCTGCAGCAAATGCTGCTTCCGCCGAAAGTTGCTCCTTTTATAGCCTCGCCTATTCCCAGACTGCGCATGCGCGGAAAGCTGCGCATGCGCGGAGAGAACAGCTCGGCCCAGCAATGGTTCGCGTGCTACCAGAGACGGCTCCGTGTGCCGCCTGTGGCACGCGTGCCATAGGTTCGCCACCACGGTCTTAAAGCATAAGGTCAAGGGCATAAGAATAGTATAGGTAGCCCTTGACTTATGAGTGATCGCTTCGCAACCATTCAAAGTTACAACTGACCTCTCCAGAGGTACTTATGACCTAGTTCTGAAGTTCGGCAATTTACAGCCATTTGCTGGGTCCCACGGTCACATGATCACGTTTTATGACATCCTCGCCAAAAATTGGCATTTACTTCCAGTTTTCAGCAAAACTGACTCTTAGCAAACAATTGGTTTGCTTAACGACCGCCCCAGCGTTTGCTTTACAAACACAGCATTTGCCTAATGAGCACCACAAAACAAGGTCATAAAAATAGATTGGATGTGTGACAACCTGCTTTATGACTGTCATAACTCATGACCACAATGGGCAGACTCCATTACTGTCATAAGTCGAGGACTCCCTGTAAGCTGTGTAGTCTAAGAGCGTATAAGTCAGGGGTAGGCAACCTGGGCTCTTTTATGATTCGTGGACTTCAACTCCCAGAATTCCTGAAGTCCACGAGTCATAAAAGAGCCAAGGTTGCCTACCCATGGTGTAAGGAAACAGGTCCATTGTAGCAAATGTATCGCAACCACTAGGAGAAAGAACTCTGCATATTTTGCGGTGTGTTCTGGTTTGAATTACAAGTAGTGGGGATTCGTACTAATAAAGGAGAATTGGTGGTGATTAGTAATCTTGACACCACCCTCAACTGCACACGGAGAGTCCCCTGAACAGTTCTGCGACCGTTTATAAAGTTGGGGAACAGTATTATAATAATATGCGCTATTTTATGTAAAATAAGCAGTGTAGGATAAAAATCGGATAAAACTTAGCAGCTGAAGGAGTAACTTTGCCACAACTGCGCTAAATGAACTTCTCCTCTAATAGGTCATCAAGAAAGCAAACGACATCCTGAACGGAATCAGCAGTTCTTCTGTATGTACTGAAGTCATCCAGTCTATGCAGGGCATGGAATATTTATTAGGTATCATTTTATTTGATTTCATATCTAGGTAACACAATTGCAGGTAGTCCTTGACTTATGACCAGTTGCTTAAGAACCGTTTGGAGTTGCAACAGCCAAACACAAATTTATTTGGCAAGGGAGAAAACCGAGAATTAAATTCAAGTTAATACAAGACGTAAAGGAAAGCGGAGGATTCGGCCTCCCAAATTGGGAAAAATACTATCAGGCGGCAACATCTGCTTGGATAAAGGAATGGATACACCTAAGGAATAGGAGATTGTTAGCATTAGAAGGCCACGACATGCAGATAGGGGGGCATGCGATACTATGGGACAGGAAACACAAGGCACATCAGTATTTTCAGAAACACTATATTAGACGGGCACTATTAGATGTGTGGACTAAAATTAAAAAATCTAATTACATGAAAATCCCCAATTGGATATCAACATTGGAGATATTTTTTCACCCAAAATTTATGAACTTAGGAAGGGTAATTACATATAAAGACATTCTAGATGAGAACGGAGAGTTGAAAACAAGAGAAAAACTATTAGAAGATGGCATAGAGCCGGAATGGTGGGCATATTTGCAAATACAATCTCGATACAGAAAAGATTAAAAAGAACCCGGGATAAAATTAGAACACACAGAATTAGATAAAATCCTACTAGGAACAGAAGATAAAACGATAAAAAAAAAATATCAATATTTACTAGAACAAGACATGCTGGAAGAACAATAAAAGATACAATGCTAATTTGGAGCAAAAACTTTGGCTATAGTATCGATTTAGATAATTGGCAACTATTATGGGATAGGAATAGGAAGCTAATGTTAGCTACCACCTATAAAGAAAATCTATATAAGACTAGCAAAAATGGACAAAAAATCCTCGTCGATATGTTGGAAATGTAGAAAATTACCAGGGACTTACTATCACATGTGGGAATGCTCAGAAGAGCAAGAATTTTGGCATCTGATAAAAAATTAGCTGGAAGAGATATTATCACAAAAAATCGAATTAAAACCAGAAACCTTTTTATTAGGGATTACCAAGGATAAATTCAGCAAAGGATCTTTATATTTAGTATTGCACATTCTAACTGCATTAAGACTAGCCTATGCTCAGAAATGGAAGAGAAAAGAAACCCCTACTGAAGAAGAAGTAATAAATAAAATCCTATCCTGCGCTGAAATGGATAGGTCAGGGGTAGGCAACCTCGGCTCTTTTATGACTCATGGACTTCAACTCCCAGAATTCCTGAGTGGAAGTCCATGAGTCATAAAAGAGCCGAGGTTGCCTACCCCTGGGATAGGTTAACATTAGAGCTTAAAAATAAAACTGAAACAGACTACTTCAAAATTTGGAATGAAGTGTATAAATGGCTAGAGTCAAGGAGGCATGCTAGGATGAATGTTGATTGATAAGTTGATAATTTAGAAATTTTTATACTAGTATTTTTCATAAGATAGAATTGAAAGTTATTTAACCACAATGTATATGATTGAAAGAATGCTTACCAGAAAGTCCATAGACTCTATATTCTGGACCATATAGCTCCATGTAACCTCGTATAGCTCTATGTAACCCTAACTAGAGAGCACGTATCAGTATGTTAGTAATAGGTCAGTGGGAGGAGTTTCTAAAGGGCTTTGAGAGACTTCCTGGACACTAGCCACAGGGGAGTTCTTTTGTTCATCTTGTGAATGGCATCCAGCCACACGGCTGGAGATCCCACAATCATCCCACCATGTGACGCTTGGGCAGAAGAGGGGAAAATCCAACATCAATTTACCGATAGAAATGAACAGGAGATGTAATATCAGAGGCAATCGTCATGAAAGCAAGTAACCTATCTGATTATAAATATATTTCTTGGTTTGAAATCATTTCTTTGTGTTATCTATCTGACTGGATTTAAAGAAGGCGTTTTTAACTCGGAGTCAGAATAGTAAAAAGATGCTCAAAATTCATATCAACTTTATAAAGCAAACAGTCAGAATACTCTATATGTATATTTTGTTATAATGTAAAGAAACTTTTTTTCCTTTTTTTTTTACAAGGTAATACTAATAGTATTGTTTAAACCAGGGAAGTTGTATCATGTCCACTGTGTCTTTTTTGTTTTTAACTATATATTCAATAAAAAAAATTTTTTATAAATGCTCTTTTTTTCAAATGCTTCACAGGGGTCGTTGAAGTTTATCGAGTCACGAAGCGAGTGGAGCTGGGCATCAAAGCCACTGCCGTCTGCAGTGAGAAACTCCAGCTGCTCCTGAAGGATATCGATAAAGTGTGGAATAACCTGATTGGATTTATGTCCCTTGCAGCCTTAACGGTAAAGTGCGTTGGAACAATTGCCCGTTTGGCTAGAGCAAGGGGAGGCAACCTTGGCTCTTTTATGACTCGTGGACTTCAACTCCCAGAATTCCTCAGCCGGCATGGCTCAGCATGGAAACCTCTCCCTTTCTCCTCAGCATGGCTGGCTCAGGAATTCTGGGAGTTGAAGTNCACACCTTTCATACCTGTATTTCTTTCCAGGTTCTCACAAAAGGACCCTAAGTTTGGGCTCCTCACCTCTGCCACCCGTGGAGCAGCCTTTCAGAGATCGATCAAACACTCTGAGCGAGAAGCCTTCACTGCCAGTCATCCGAGACAAGTACAGAGATCTTACTGGGGAAGTAGAGGTAAGGAGAGAACCAACAAAAAGATTGTGGCTTGGTGCACCTGTGCTGAAAACACTTGCTTGATTCAGCAGGTGCCAAACCGCAAATGCAGGTAGGGCAAAAATCCTTGTGGACAGAACTGAGAGCTGCTGAAAGAGAGGTAGAGTTTTCGCCGCCTTGTTCATAATGATTTTTTCACTTATTGCTTACCTCAGTGTGTTTCTCAGCCTCAGCGACTTTTAAGGTCAGTGGACTTCAATCTGGCGGAGGAATTCTGGGAGTTGAAGTCCACAGATACGAAAACGTCCTGAGTTTGAGAAACACTGACTTACAGACAGATCTCTGTATGGTGCCCAATTCATTCCAGTTTTTAGTAGGAGCACAAGCAACAAACTAAAATACAAATTAGAAATAATTCAGAGCAGCCCATCTCATAAACCAAACCCACCAGCCCACGCTCGGCCACATTTTTTCAATCAAGGGTGGCAACATGCACAACAAAGATTCTTTGGAATCAGCCCGTTTTAATGTGCTTCCAAAATGTCAGTAGGAGGGAACCAGTTTTGCTAGCGCAGCGGTTCTCAACCTATGGGTCGCGACCCCATTTGGGGTCGATCGACCATTTCACGGGGGTCGCCAAGCAAGGCTGTCCGCCATTTTTTTTGTCTGCCATTTTTTCCCCTTTTTCGGCGGGTGCCTTACCTCCCTTGGGCTGGGCCAGCTGGTGGTCGGCCTGCTCCATCTCTGCCGCTTGCCAGCTACGCCTCGGCCGGCGCAGGGGGCGGAACCACACATGCGCAGTGCTCCCGGGCAGGGAAAGTCCTCGACGTACGGCCGGTTGGGTAGTCCTTGACTTACGACCGGTTTAGTCCTCAACTTACGACCGGTTTAGTCCTCAACTTACGACCGGTTGGGGGTCGCGGCATTAAAAAGGTTGAGAACCACTGTGCTAGCGGATAGTGATCCAAATGGCCTATTTGATCTTCACAATTTGATGGGAAGAGGCCCCAGCCTTCCCTCCCAAACTGCTGTGTGCTGTTATAGATGAAGGGGAATTTGAAAAGTTTCTGATTTTCCACATCTGAATTTG